TCGTAATTTGGTAAAAATCTTAGTTTTTTTAAATTGCATCATTTAAGATGTGACTAAGGAATGGAAGAAGATTTTTGGGTTTTTGATTTTAGAAATGAAATAAAATACTATAAACAATTACGCTGTATATTTTGTTTTTTTAATTTTGCAAAATTTAAAAAAAAAAAATTTTGGTTTGCATCAAATATGCTGTGAGCCACTGTATATCGGTAGCTCTTGCTTAAGCTTATAATTATTGTATTTCTGAGGTTATTTTAGCCACAGATTTAATTTTAAATTCTCTAAATATTTAAGAGAGGCTAATTTTAAACAAAATATTATTTTTTTAAATATATTTTCTCTTTAAAAGGGTGTGCAAATTTATGCACATCAGCATATTTTTGCAAAAACAAGCTAGTTACTGTTGAACGAGGTCAAGAAGTCATTTAGAAATAATGCACTTATGATAAGAAATCAATAAATAGATGCATATATATATTTCAACTGACGTAAATGCATTATGGATTGAAAATGCATTTTCTTTACTTTTTATTACATTTTTTTTTTACTTTTTTAATATAAAAACACACAGACAAATTATTGTATAAAGCAATTGATTTCTCAAAGTCAACAGTCAGTCAACTCTACTGTTACCAGGTGCAGGGCAATTGAAGAAATCATCAGATAGAGCGCAGAAAGAGCTCTTCATAATCTTATACGATGTCACATAAACTGCTAAGTTCACATTTGTAAAGCGAAAGCGAGTACGAATACTAATCGAGGAGGAGGAGGAGGAGTTGGAGTGCTTGCTTAAGCATTCACTCAGAGTAATCAAGTCAAATTTCGCATCAACGTGTACCCTACGTCAAAACACGTTCCTTCACCTTGACTAACAAAAATCATACGATAGATGATAAAATAGAGCATGTAACAACAAATTTTATACAACTATACACTACTCACTCACATATGACAGAGTACGCAAGTATTTTAAGTATTTTTTTTTTGTTGTATTATTATTTAATAACACATCTTTACGGAGAATTTCAAACAAAAGAGAGAAGATAACAAAAAGTTAAACAGAAATAACAATAACAAAATTAACAACACAAAACACCGGCTACTCTATTCACATATGGCATGGGGCATCACCTCATTATGTTGTGCATGTGTTAGTGCGCGAGTGTAGTATATATATATATATATATATATATGATTTTTTTTCTGTTATTATTCAAGCAGTTCGGGCAATATATGTTTTGACTGAACTTCTTATATTAGTTAAAAGTGGGGCGGACGTTAATGAGGAAATAATGCCGCAAATGTTGCCTGATTATTTATGCTGATAATATTGACAAAAAGAACGTGATAAGATATCGTATTAATCCTGGTATTTTTATGCATTTCGAAAGGTAAACAAATGACAAATAAGCAAATATATTTCTTGATTTCCATATCTCATGAAGTTAAGTAGTAAGCAATAAGCGAAGCGTGATCTCTTTTTAACATATAGGGGGAAAGATATAAGCAGAAGAATTGTTCTAATTAATTTTTAGTTAATAGTTTTTAGTTCTTTTTTTTTGTGTAAATAAGATTCTTTTCTATCTATAATTCAGTAGTAATAAATGTAGAATAAGAATAAAATAGATAAACTTCACTAATAAGCTCTTCAACTGCACTCATTATATTTGTTATAAAATTATAAATTATTTAAAAAAAAAAATTAAATATTTGATTTAAAATTTGTCAACTAACAATAGAACTCATTCACTGTTCGGCGAATTAAAAAAGTACACATTTTTATTTTTAGTGGGTTATGAGTAATTTAACACATTTCCGAAATTTCGATAAGATAACCCAAAAAAAAAATTTATGTATTCATAACATAAATATTTTTTTTATTATAAATATTAGACAGACATAATAGTTTTAAGAACACATGGCTATATCTCTATGTATATATAATTAAATTATGAAGTGTTAGATTAAAATAATTCGACAGCATAATTCGAGACTAACTATAAAGTGTGACTAATATACATAAGTGGGTCATTGAACTCCTATTCGAAATTTTATAATCACAATTCTTAATCACAGAGAATTAATTTTTAAAATTATAATTAACACAAATATATATGCATATATCTGAAATAACTATAAATATATATCTGAAATATAATTGATAATCACTATAAATATATAAAATCATAAAATATAAATAAAGATATCATCAATCTGCAGTACGTTATATATAATGTATGAACTATATAAATATTGTCAATATTACGATTGCAAATAATGCATGAATTATTTGATAAGTTTTAAAGATAAGAGAAACACTTTAAAATATAAATCTAAAATTATAACGTTTATATTATAAAACAATTAATTTCTTTAGAGATTTTTACGACCAATATAGGAATAAACAAAAATGATAAGATTTCCAGAAAATTATCGGAAATGCATGAAATTGAAATAGAACTTCTTTATCAAATGTTTTGGATTTACAGTTTGCCAATATTAAGCTATTTTTGTTTCTTTTATAACGATTGATTATTATTATTTAATATTTCAATAGAAATATTTTTTTTAAATCAACAAATGATTATAAATAAACGAACAATATACCACAATCTAAAATTCATGGTTCTTTTTTTGAAAAAGGACTTCTAAATTAATCTGAAGAAATTAAGATTACTGAGGAATCTAACACCACTAATTCACACTTTGTTCAAGATTCCAGATCTTATACGGAATATTAAAAAAGACTGCAGAATAAAATATATTCAGAAGATACATAGCGATTTCTGTTTCATAACTTCAGGAAATTATTTACTAAGATAAGATGTTAATGAAAACATTATCTAAATAAGATTTTGTATCATAAAACCTCAAAATCCCAAAAAATGATGTATTTTATTTATTTTTAACAAATTTGCACAATATGGTAGTTAAGAATCAATTAATTTCTACACTTTTTTTTTTATAACGTATGAGTAACAATTGATCAAAATAATTTTGTGTTATTTATTGATATTATGTTATTGTAAATTTATTTGTTTAAAAAATGTTTTTGACTTTAAATATATATTGAAAGTACTTATATTAACAAGTTGATAATTAAAATTATATTAAAGAATGCTTGAGTTTTATCCAATGCGAGATTTAAGTAGAATTTGCGAAGACAAACATTAGATGATGCTGCACTTAATCGCTTAATAACGTATTCTATATTGGGCTCAACAACTAGTTATTAAAAAATGGGAACTAACAGAAGCTTAATACAAGCAAATGTTTTAAGAGCTTCTGGGTCTATGTCCCGCAGCTGCTTGTCAATTACGACGACCAAATGCTTTTCACTACTCTTAAAACAGATCACACCAGCAGATCTCCATTGGGCACAACAGCAAACACAAAAAAAATCACAGCTAGTTTTTTTTATAATAAAATAACATAATTATAATAATAATAATAGATCATAGAATAGATCACTGTCGTAGACCAATTCGACATTTTCTCTTGCAATTCTACAAGTTTGTAAATTCTACAAGTTTACAAATCAGGTATTAGAGCCAACACATTTATTAAGCAAAACATAATGGATCACAAGTGCAAGGAATTTGACATATATCACCACGATAAAGATAACAGTCTTAGAATAGCCTTCATTTTTAGAAACGAAAAAAAAAATATCGACTATATTACACTATCATAACGCAGACATTTTATATGTACTTGGATCGAATTCCAAAATATATGTAAGATTTTTCTCGAAGGAAGAAGATCAATGAAAATAACCTGTAATGATCAATATGTAAAAAAAGTTAATTGCAAACAGGCGAAACAGGAAAAAAGTAATGAAGAGAAATAAATTTTGGTACGACACAAAATTTCTCTAGCCACTTTAGTTTATTATAGATTTCTGATATGGCACATTATTCAACCACAGAAATCACAAAACAGTAACGAAATTTATGATTTATATCGAAATTCAGATATCGTAACAAACTTTAAAATAAAATCTCTCAATTAAGAATCCCCTGACATATACTCAGTATTGAAGAGAAGAATTTACTTGACAAAATATTAAAAAAAAATCTGAGAAATAGTGCAATCAAAATAGAACAGAGGCAGATTGAGATTCCAATAGCGGCAGGGTCTACTTTCCGGAGCCAATCCTCGGATTCAGCCGTTTGATATAGCCAAAAGGAACTACACCAGCAACAGAAGTAGATTGTACAGATTTCTTGAGGCAATTAAGACCCGACCCAGGGTTTTGAATATATTATAACTGATCATAACACACTTCACATTTATTATATTTTGCATCAATCACTTTCTTTGTAGCACAGGTTTTAAGGAATGTTTGTATACAAGTGAATTGTTTGTTACCACTGAGAAATTTTTATTGTTTTGAAAAAAAAAATTGCAAAATAAAGTATTCTAAGGCCAAACGTTCTAAATATATAGTATAAAAATAAAAAAATTTACAACAAAAAATTTAAATTTTATAAAAAATTAAAAATATTTCAAGCATAAACAAAAGGTTATCTTTTATTAGGGTTCATTACTAATTTGTTTATTTAAATATTTTGAACGCGCTTTATATATTTTTTTAATATAAATTTTATTTTTGACTATTTTTTGACTATTTGCAAAAAGATATTTTATCATTAAACTAAATAATAATTTCATATTATGTATATATTATATAAACATATACTTTTTTGATGTTTATTTGTCTTCTTCAATCTTTAAAACATCAGCATAATTCTTTACCCGGCATAATTAACCCATAAATTTGATTTGCTTTAAATTAGTTGAAACAATAATAATAACAACAACAACGCAGGTTCCACGCACATCTGTTCTACTAATTCAAGTTCAAGTTCAATGACAAATTTTGATACTATTTCTTGATAATTATTATTTTTTTATTTTTGTTTTTTCACGGTTTTTTTTTTTTGTTATCACTTGATAGCGTGGTTTTTTTTATTTATATATAAAATTATTAGACTTACTGTATTCAAAAGCCATGGATTGTTGCTGACTAATTTTGACCAATCCGTACTTGTATTGACTGTGGCGAAGCGACACACTTCAACACCCGCTCCATTGTTGTTTAAATGCCTATTGAGTATATCCTTGCCAGTGGCTTCACATATAGCTTTTGCAGACATATTTACAAATAAAAGTTACAGAACTGCAAAAAAAATCAAGAATTTTTTGTTATTATTTTAATAAAAAAAACTTATTAAATGTTATTTATAAATTTATATTTACAATTTATATTTAAAAATTTAATATTTATACTAAAAAATTGAATTTAAAAGTTTAATGTTTATACATATACAAGAATTTAAAATTTATATTCAAAAATTGATATTTAAAAATTTATATTCAAAAATTGATTAAAGAATTTAAAAATGTTGAACTCCTTAGTTAAAATTTTAAATTTATATTAAAAAATTTTAATCTTATATTTAAAAGTTTAATATTTATATTTAAAAATTTTGAATTTATATATAAAAATTTTAAATTTGTATATAAACATTTTAACTTTTTATGTAAAAATATTATAAATTGTAAAAAGAATTTAAATTCCCAGTTAAGAATTTAAAATTTATATTATAAATTTTTGATTTTATATTTAAAAATTTTAAATTTATATATAAACATTTTAACTTTTTATGTAAAAATAATATATATTGTAGAAAGAATTCAAATATTTTCAATTTCCAGTTAAGAATTTAAAATTTATATTATAAATTTTTGATTTTATATTTAAAAATTTTAAATTTGTATATAAACATTTTAACTTTTTATGTAAAAATAATATATATTATAAAAAGAATTCAAATGTTTTAAATTCCCAGTTAAGAATTTAAAATTTATATTATAAATTTTTTTTTTATATTTAAAAATTTTAAATTTGTATATAAACATTTCAACTTTTTATGTAAAAATAATATATATTGTAAAAAGAATTTAAAAACACGTTAAACAGTTTAAGAATTTTATATTTTACTATTATATTATTTTTATTATTATATTATTTTATATTATATTATATTTTATATTATATTATATTATATTCTATATTATATTATATTATATTATTATTAATATTATATATTATTATATACTTTATTATAAAAATTATTATTTTTTATTAATTTGTTTAAAAATTCAAAATTTTATTTAAAAAGCTTATTATTTATTGTATAAAAAGTCTTTAAAAGGTTAAGCTGTTAGTTAAGAATATCTCAACATTCCAGAATTTACCTAAGGCAAATTAAACAATAGACTGAGTGACTAAGTATGAGAAATAAAACCGAATAGCGCGAAATCTCGACACGAACTAAACTACACAGAACAGCTTTAAAGCCAAATCCAAACTGAATCAAATGTCTTATATACTCCTCAAGTCAACGTGTAAGTTCCAATTAAAATAAACGACGAACGAAGCAAACCACGATTGCTTTTAAGTTTTTGTTCTTGGCTTTAGGGCTGCGTAACATTCTAAAGCCCTCACTTGTCTAATGAGTTGCACAATTTAAACGTATGATTGCGCGGCTGATAAAGAACTTTTTGCTTTTTGCTGCTTACTGTTTATTTACGTCACGTGTAATAAAATTTTCTTGATATTTTTCAAGTGTGCTTTAAGTCCTACTTCATAATAAACTACATACCCCATTTAAAGAAGGTCAAAGCATGCACTTGGTTTTTACACTTCAGTTGTAATAGAATATGTGAAAAACTGCAAACTGAAAACTGAAAGTTTACTCACTTCGTGCTGCAGGAATGACCTTGTTTGTATATATGTACGTATAAGTGTTTATGAATGAAAAACGTGTTTCTTGTTGTTAGTGTGATTTAACAAACAATGCAAAAGTATTCATGTATGAGTAAAATGTTATGCTATTAATAATGCACAAAGGTTTACATCTTGAACAATTGCTGTAAGAAAAAAAATGAGTCCAATAAAGCTTTAAAACTTTAAATAACTATATTAAGTTATAATTGATTTAAAAAAAGGTGTTAATTTAAAATGCATGCAAAATGTAAAATTAAAATAAAAACCGCAACAATAATGCATTTTTAATCTTTACGGAAGTTTATTAACTTTAAACTTTAAACAATATACTTTGACTATATAGTCAGAGAAAGCATATATAGTCATTTGGTGATGCTTTTTTACTATTTATAATAACAAATGCATAGGAAGAAAAATTCATGTTTCAAACAATCACAAAACAATAACCCAGGCGAGCAATAAGTTATCATTCCTCGGCACGTATTTTCGTTAAGCGATTGTTAATGCTGGTTGGAATATAACTCTATGTACATTTATCAAAATCAATTACATTGGCTCAGGCAAATGTTCATAATTGTCATTATGTCAAATTTTTGCAGATATTAACTCCATTTTTATTAAACACCACAACGTCTATGAGAGACTTATCTATGAGAGAGACTTATAACTTTAGTACACAAGGTCAAATTTCACTATAGTCTAATTTGATCAAATATACTTTAACTGTATGTTATAATACATTTCATTTGTTCTGTAGAAAATTGAGCACGTTGTTCGGGAACAATTATAGTGAATCTCACAAATGTTTACAGTCATTTTTAAGTCTAACTGCTTGCGAGACTAACTAACAGCGAGTTATCAAACAACAGAACGTCTATCGGAGGCTTGTCTATCAGTGCCGACTGTCCTGATAGCAACGTGTATTTGTAATAGAACTTCAGAACAAAGAATCTGGATTTAAATTGATCTATGATCTATGATCTAAAAACACGTTTTAAGAAATGCTTTCAAGTGCACTTTAAGTGCTTAAAAATACTTAATATAAAACCTATATAGAGATTAACTTCTTTCTATTATCGCTAGTGGCTAATAAAAATATGCGCGACTAATGGACAGTCATTTTAACTCAACTTAAATTTATCTATTGATGTCATTACTTTCTTAATATACGCAATAAATAACATTAAACATCTCTGAATAAATTTTTTTATTTTGGTTATATAATTTTTTTAAATATAATTTCGACGAATAACTATTTATATTAATTTATCTCCATAATAGCCTCAGTGATTTATAGATATATACCTCTGAAAAAATTTTTAGCCCTTAGCGACTTATATGGCAGTTACTACAAGATGTGTCTCATATTTCATATGCAGATACCAAAATTACTATATGCTCATTATCCATTAATTAATGCATGCTATTATCTTCTGATTATTATCATTTATACATTAATTTAAATTTAATTGTCGAAAATGGGAAAAATTATAAAGTAGCGAAAGTGATGTTTAAAACTCATAACAAAATTATTCATATTTTCGCGTGATTTTTGAGATAATCAGAGAAGATTAGATTAATTTTGTTTACAAAGTTGCATGCGATACAAGATTAGTTTCGATTAAATTGGAATATGTATTTAAAAGTGCATGTGAGATAAATAATGTCTTTACGAAATTACTAAGTCTCTCTAAACGTATGTCTTAATAGGAGTATTTTTCATTCTAATTTTATTCGAGTTATAAAGAAATTCGACTTAAGGAAGCAGATTTGCATGTAATTTGCTCTCTAAAACTGTGTTGCACTCTTTTTAGTTCGAGTTATGGAAGTTTAACTGTACTTTCAATCCCATATCAGATATGTAATAACCACTAAAGGGTTATATTTTATATAAAAATATTATGCAGTTTATTTGCTTTATCCTAGGACATTAATCAATACTTATGGATAAATAAACATTGAAATTGAAGAAAATCAACCCGTACTTTGACCTCTTAGTCAATTTGATTTTATTGTCTTATATTAAAGAAAAAAACATAATATGCAGGATAGTATCACAATTTAACATAAACAGATTCCAACCTTTTTGTTTTGCAGTTCGAACCACATTAATATATATATTTAGTTTAATTAACTAATTTAATAACTTTAGTTTACTTAACTAACTAAAAACACATTACTTGTAATTATTTTTTTTAATTCATTAAAATTTAATAACATTAATGTCGTAGCACTGTATGTCGGTTGAAGATAAAATAATTTACTATTCTCGTCCTTTTTCTACACTTTTTTAGTTTTGTAATGCAAGAAATACTAAAACAAATGTTCAGCAATGTTAAGATTTTATCTTGTGAATTAACACATCTTTCGAAGCAGTTTGACAGTTGCCCCAAATAAGTTGCGTGCGGACCAAACAAAAAAAAACTTTGTTCCTTTCATAATTTTCTTTGGCTTTGTTTACAAACATTTTTAATTCGTGAAAATACAACCCTTCCTCAATTCCGGTTGTTGTTTTTGTATTTTGTTTTGTATGCTGATATACACCAAAAATAAATCCTGAGATTTTTAATTAAAAAGGAAAAAACTATATAAGAAAGTATGTAAACCTTTTTAAAGTCTGAAATAATAATAAAAAAAATTATAATTAATTAATCCCTTACTCAATTTTCAATACAATATACATTTGTAAAACTATGCGGAAGCATTGTTTTTTTTTTATTATTACTTTAAGCGCCCTTAAAGTAATGCGGAATGAGTGCAAATCCACTTCAGTATTTTAATAAATTGTGGCTATACATACAAACGAAGCTGCTATTTAAAGCACTTAAGTCAAAACGCATATTAAATTATTTGAAAACTATTTTGTTGTCGCTATGTACATTAACACACAAAGAAACACTGCGTATGGACATAAATACAGGGATTGAAATAACTTATTTGCATAGTATATGCAATTTAATAAATAGTATATAATTTGATTTTTATATAAGCAATTTATTTTCAAACGCCTAGGGTGCTTATTCATATACATATATACGAATCACTTTGAAATTGAATTATGCACATTAGAAATGTCAAAAAAGTATTTATTAATTATGTTTAAAGAAGACAACGTTTATTATAATCCACACGTAGATTTTTTTGTGCATAAAATAATAATATAACTTCCCAAAGTGAAAGTTATTGATTTTTTTTGTTTGTTTGTTCCGTTTTCTTATACCGTACGCAATCAACTCGATTAAATAACAGAGAAAGTGGGTAAAATCAATAATGTCGCAACATAATAAATGCACAAATGCTTATTTAGCTCTGACTTCCTCACACATTACAAAATAAATTGAATTCCAATTGTTTTTCGTTTTGATAAAAACTGCATTTTGAACATTTATTAATTTATTTTTAGTTCTACAACAAAAAAAATCTATTTAACACTATATTATTTCCACAATCTTTTAGTTTAAAGTACAGGCATCAATTAATGCATATACTATTCTTTACGCTACAAAAAACTATATTAATATGCCATTTTTTCTACTTGTGTTGCGTTCCTTAATTTATTCAATTTCACATTTTTCACTTTTACTTACACGTCAATATACTTTTTCCACTTAATGTATGCACCGCTAAAGGACTTCCTTTTAGATATTTTATTATTATTCTTAATTTAAATAAAATCAATGATTTAATATTAAATATGTGTTTTATTATGTATGTTTCACGGCACTGGAATTCGCAAAACTATACTGTGCGCGCGACCGTAAGCGTAATTGGAATGCGGTGAGTTGTTACTTTACGACAAATGTATGCGAGCATATCTCATTGAATGGATGGTAAAATTAAAGCGAAATTATGTAATATTAAGCATGTCGCACACGCAGACGTTGCTTCTCATCAATAAACAAAACGAAAGTGGCCGTAACTTGGAGTAGTGTCAAAAATATTTATATAAACATTCTTTAACTTTTAATTTTTTATTTACACGTGAAATTGTTAAATAAGCAGTGATTAACTTAAACTAAACTTAAATTATTGATACCCATGAATATGTTGGAAAAAAAAGCAACAAAACGTTGGGTGAAAAAATGAAATATATTAATTTTTTATTTGACCATTTTAAAAAACAAAACATACTGTTAAAAAAACATCACTATTAATTTAAAACAATCATTTTTTAATATATTATTGATATAAAATTATTATGCTAAACAATTCTTAAATTTATTGTTATTAATACTAGACATACAAGTAATTCGGTAATACTATGTTTTCATTGTTTCAATCAGGCAGTTTTGCTCATTCAGTTCCTAATAAGAATAATTTATCCACAAAAATCTTTAATATAATCGAATTATTTATAAAAAAAATCAACTCATTTAAAAATGAGAAAAATAAGTAATACGTTGTTTACATTGTGTGATTAAAAGTAGATTAAAGCAAAAATCGAGATTAAAGTACTAACCTCGTTGTTTTATCTCAGATTTCACATACAAAAGTTAATCTCCTTTTGATCGAGAACAATTTTAAATCTCTTTCGAAATGGTGATTATTTCTCAGTATAACTCTACAAATGTCTTAATATCATAAATTTTTTTAAGGATCTTAGAAGAATTGAAAAAGAAATGTCAAAATAGATTCAAAACAAACAATAAAAATTTAAAAATGCTGAAGTGAGTGAAATTTTTATTAAATATTTTTTATAACAGTTTTATACTTAATAATAATTAAAATTTGTTAAATTTTTGTTATAAAAATATTTATTAAATTTATATAACAATTTTTTTGTACAAAATTGTAATTAAATATTTTATTTACAGAAATTTATCAAATACACAAAACAAAACACAACAAGAGAAACGTCAAAATTTAAGTCCAATATATATTGTAAACGGTGGAGATTAAAAATGCAGATTAATTTAATCTCGTTCTCTTAATCTCACAATGTAAACGTAGTATAACCCTTAAAAATAAATTTCCCACAAAGGAAATGACCAAAATTTGAAATATTTGTCAAATATTTTATATGTAAAATATAAGAATCAAGCTACTTCACATGCATGAATCAGATCATGCTAGAGGATCGAACAAATCTTAATTATATTACCGTAAGTAGTTTTAACTGCAATGGAAACAAGATATAACTTATTATTCGATAATATGATGAAAAACTTCTAAATTTTTAGTGAACATTTAAATTAACTGATATTATATATATCTATCAGATCTACAATTTTTCAAATGAGCTATAAAAATCAATCAAGGTACGCCCTTTGTATTAAGAAATACCAACTGTTGGCTTTAGAAAATAGTAGATTAATTTATAAAAGAGACATCATTTTTATTAATTAAAACAGAGGCAACAATATAATTAACTATTTAATCTTATAAGTAAATTTAAAATTATGTAGTTCCTATTGTATTTGCGGAGCATATACATTTTTTAACCAATTTTTAATTTTAAACTTCAGCTGGTAATAGATGCAATATATTCTTTCTTTCTTAAAAAAAACTTATATTTTGAATTTGTCTTCGTTTTTGAATTTAATCATATACATAAATATATATATTACATATTAGAATATACATTTCAGAACATATACATGATAATTATAATGTATGGTATATATAAATATATTTAAAACTATTTAAGAAATTAACAATACATAATTTAAAATGCCTTCATATTTATGTCTATTATAATATATTAGGTTTGCTCCACGAGCTCCTTGTAGTAACTTACAGTAGCTATTCAGTAGCTAAAGTTACTACGAGTGGCTCGTGGAACAGACCTAATAAACTTACAAAAATTACGTGCTCCAATTCTGTCGTTGCTATCTTGACTTCCGGTATTAAATGTTAAATGTATTAAATGTATTTTTTAAAAGTGATAACAATCTGTTTCAACCAGACTTAATGCTGTTTTTTTTATAACTCTTAAAGAAAAAATTACTGGTAATATATATCTTTAATGTTCACATTGTGAAATAATCTTGTATTCAATGATGTAGAACGTTTGTGCAAGTATGCGCTTCTTAAATGTCATACACTTTTAAATCGGCTGTCGGCCAAGTTTTTTCTCACTGTTATCAGTGTTTGTTTTGCTAATTGCCTTATAATCTGATCTTTGTTGTCGTTACTAAAAATATTATGTCCATTTATAAGGATTTACCCGAGGTAAAATTTTTACCATTAAACTTACTATATAATTTTGTTATTAATATTTAAAGGAGCATCCAAGGAAATTAATTCCAGAGCTTTGTAAACTATTTTACAATTTAGGTTGGGTCACCGGAACAGGTGGGGGTATCAGCATTAAATTCAAGTTGGTTATAAATTAAATTAACAAAATATATAAAATTAATTAAAAAATTAATTCTGAAGTAATGAAATATACATCGCTCCTTCCGGCGTTCAAAAAGAACGAATTTTACCAGAGGATTTATTTGTGCAAGATATAAAAGGAAACGACATTCAAATACCACCTGATTACAAATGGTAAATTTGAGCTTTATATAAGTGTCAATCTATGTCAGATTTCATTTCAATATAGTTTAACGAAGAGTCAGTGTACACCGCTTTTTATGTTAGCTTACAGACATCGTTCAGCAGAAGCAGTAATTCATACGCACTCACAAAGTGCTGTAATGGCTACGTTGTTGTGGCCAGGAAAAGAATTTCGATGTACCCATTTAGAAATGATTAAGGTACAATAACTATAATAAAGTGTACGCTAATATATAATAATGATATTTCAAGGGTATTTATGATGAAGAGCAAAAACGGCATTTGCGGTATGACGAGCAACTGGTAGTTCCAATAATTGAAAACACTCCATTCGAGCGTGATTTGGCCGATTCTATGTACGCTGCTATGATGCAGCATCCAGGGTGTAGTGCTATACTCGTACGTCGACATGGTGTGTATGTTTGGGGAGAAAGCTGGCAAAAAGCAAAAACAATGTAAATTCCACATTTATGTAAATTGAGATTATATGTTTTATTTTTTTTTTATTTATAGGGCAGAATGTTATGATTATTTGTTTTCTATAGCTGTGGAAATGAAAAAATCTGGACTTGATCCTGAAATTTTCCAGACGTCGTAAAATTTTTCTATAGCTGTGGAAATAAAAAAATCTGGATTTGATCCTGAAATCTTCCAGACGTCGTAAAATTTGTTTAAACTCATAATGTTTGTCACTATTTTCCATATAAATAAGAGACTTTATATAATTTACAATTTGACTAAAGCAATATAAATTTTGTTACGGTAGTTAATGGATAAATGCACCCGCTTGAAAACATGTTCATGCATTTCTCTGAGAATTACTGTACTTATAAAAATACGACGCTTGACTTTTTTTATGTTTCTCTAGAATTGCTAGAAATTATTTTGATTGACTTTTTGCCGCGTAATGCTAGGCTTTATTTTGCTGTGAAAAGTTGCCAGTGCGAAGAACACACAACTCTTAAGATTATTTTGTTTTTATGAGAATCCAATACATACAATTGGGTATAATTAAGAATTTGTATACTCTGTTTACACTCGTAATTAACGAATCTTATGTTAGCATAGATTTTGTTGCTATTTTAACCCATATTTGGAAATACATAGTTGCAACAGCGTAAACGTGGTGCTACATGCATCAAAAATAATAAGCAGAGATAAGAAGTCGAAATATTTAGTATATAATGATGTTTTCGAATATATGTATATACAGTATCTCATATATTATTTAATTTATCGCTAATAAATTATTAATTAGGAATATTCCCTCTGTCTTGCAAAGTTATTGCACTAAGGTTGCAAGAGTGCGGGAACAGCTATGTTGTAGAATTGTAATATCAAAATGAAACAGCAGTTTTTGCAGTTTACCACATCCACATAAGAAGCATGTCGAAACAGCTGTTTTTTTCGTTTCGTTGTAAGCATATGTATAGACATGGGCTTAGTTATAGTAAGATTGTCCACTGAAAGCTCGAGCAACCTGTGTATTTCATGCACTTTGCAATGAGTCTGTGAGAGAGTGAAAATCCCTATTGTTTAAGCTAAAGTCTTATATAAATTACATTTACAACATTTATCTCTATAAATGCGTAATAATTAGTTACATGTGTTCCGTAATCCTGTGTACTGATTTTGATATAAACTATGACTGCAACGACTGAAATTATAATTTCTCACCATAAGTTGATAAATTACAAATTTAAATGATTATTAAAAATTAAGTTTTTATAAAATATTAATTTCTAAATAAAGTGAAAATCCGGCATTGAATGTGTCGCGCTGTCTTTGAATATTTATTTGTTTTATTTTCCAATGTAGGTGGATCACCTAAAGCACTTTTTTCGAATGCAAAATGAACAAATTTCAAACATTGGACTGTAAAAGTCAAAAATTGAAACCAGTAATCAATGGGAAGGCAGACATAAGAAGATAAAAGGCTTGGTATTTATACAACAAACATATCTAAGTCAAAATTGAACACAAGTGAGGGGGGATATTTTGCTGGATAGTTATTACTGGTTGTTTATTAATTATTGCTGCCTAATGTTGCTGATATATATAAGACAAAATTCTGGCAAAATATGTTATTAAAGTACAGTTTATCATTTATAAAAACAAAAAATTAATATAATTAAAGTAAATTGGTTTTCGGAAATTACAAATAGTGGATACTATTTCGACGATGTGTGAATATTTTAATAGAAACTATTTACTAGAAAATATATAGTTATATTATAATAATATGTATAGTTACAATGGGTATAATAGCTGTTCTAATACTTATTTAGATTTATGTAAAAAATGTTTCAAACATTATTTTTGGTTCGTTCAAGTATGTAACTGCAAGCTGGCATTTAATATTGTATAATATTGGACTCACACAAGAGTTTTATTTGTAATTTTAAATGTCAAACATTTTTGTTTTGCATTGAAAACAACAATAATTGACAACTAAAATTACAAGCATGACAGCTAAAATTATAAACAAAACTCTCGTGTGAATCCAATATAAAACTGATTTGAATTCAGGTAAACGATATGATGATGAAATCAGAAATTTAATTTAAGAAATGTTTTCAATTTTTTTGTCTTCGAGTGACTGAAGTTTATGATAGGGAAATTATGAGATAGAAGGAAAGTGGAAGAGAGATATTTCTTGACAATATATTCTACAGATAATACATTGTAAAACACTGCCCATGTCTCCGTCAAAAAGACAGTATCCGATGCTCCCGATGAAACCAGTATCACTACGTCTATTTATTTTTTTATGTATCATATCTATTATTTTTTACATTTAAGTTTTGCTTATTCTGTGTTTCTTTTAAAGTAAGCGAACGATCATTATTAACAATTATAAACAAAAAACATATGTTTAGAATTAAGATTTTTTGGTTAAGTGGCATCATCGTTTTGAATTGCACATGACAAGCGAAACTATGAAGAAACATAAACTGCAATTATAAAAACGGTAAAATATTCGCGAAAATATCAAGTATAATATTCAAAATATCGATGAAAAATATAAAATATATTAAGAAACGGTGCCGGGCTACCCAAATAAATATTTTATTTTCCATTATCCATAAAGTTAATTATTAAGCAAGATGATGCCCTTTACAATGCTATTGTTTTGCTTTTGCTTGGCCAGTGCTGTTGATCAATTATTACAACCGAGTGAAAAAATAAATTTCAATGCACAGCAAACATCAAGTCAAGTGGAAAATATATTTCCAATAACATCACTTAAACCAAATGGAGATCAAATCTTAAATATACGTTTTGACCCCCCACATCTGGACTTTGGTGTTATATCAGTTGGTACAGCGCAATCACACACAATCACAGTTATTAATCAGCATAATCGTAGTGTGTATTTGGGTTCGGTCTCAGGTCAAATTTCATCATTTTATAGCAGCTTTTTTGAGACAAAGATCATACCTCCACAAGGAAATACTACATTTAATGTAGTTTTTCTACCTCGTGAAAGTGGAACACTACAGTCAGTTTTACATGTACATAGTTCATTTGGCTTAGCTAACTTTTCCGTTCGTGGGGTGGGTACTGAATGTCCATACAAATTACAGCCAATTGTAGGCGTTAAAGCTCCGCTGAATGCCACGCTTACCCCAGAAATACATATGTTCAATCCACATAAGCATACAATGCAAATAATAGAGGTAACAACTTCCTTAACTATAACACATTTTTCTAGTGTATATGTTACAGGTGTACAGTAGTGGTGGGCAATTTCAATTAGAATTACCTAGCGGCGGACAAGAAGGACCTCAAGCCTTATGGGAAATACCGCCATATTCCACAAAGCCAGTGATACGTATAAGATTTCATGGAAAGAATGCCGGTAATCACACGGCGTATATACGTATAAAAGTGCTGGAGCAGCCGAATGATTCTGTAGCTCCAGTTGAAAATGTTTTTGTTATTCCCGTTGAATTTGAAATTCAACAGGAGAATGGACTGTATGCTGAAAACCCGGTAATTGATTTTGGGCGCATTGTAACACAAGATACAACGCCAACAACAGTGAAACTTAATTTACGCAATTCGGATGAAAATAGTCCTTACGAGTTAGTGTATCATGATCTTCATAATATTAGTGGTTTATCTTTTAATATAAACGATACAAGCATTACTCTTGATCCAATGCTGTTGGACAAGTCTTTTAATTTTAAGCTTGCTTTACTGCGTTCAGCTTTGAAACGCAACGTTAGTCACATTCAAGAATTTTCGGTTTTGATACGTGCAGATGTTTTTAAAGGCACGCTTTCTTTTAATCGTAATACAACAATTTTTATAACCGGTGATAAAGATGTTTATAAAGAAAGAAAACTTATTGTGCGAAATGAATTCAAAACACCTTTACTCGTTTTGAAAAGCAGTGTAGAGAGTAATATAACCAAAATTTTTAATATAAATCAAAGTCATAGTAAGTATGACGTTGTGCTGAAGCCAGGTGAATCATTGGAACTCATGCAGCTACAAACTAAAAACCTTAGTAATAACTTTCGCTCTATGTTAAATATATATACTAATGTAACTCGTTTCGAAGTGCCTTTATTAATATGTACTGGACAGCTCCATGTGCATACGCAAATTTCGGGTCGTTTTATGTTAAAACCTGAATATAATACTGATCTTAATTTGGGCTTGGTGCCTTTGGCAGAAATGTCACAACCAGGTTATATTGTTTTACAGAATAAAAATCCAATACCAATTAAGGTAACGAATTGGGACTTTCAAACAAAACGTGGCATATACTTTCATACCACATTTATGGGTTGTGCGAAAATAACGAGCTTGAAAAATGAACAAAACATCGAGAATGTCAAATATTACTTTTGTTCGCAACTTAACGAAAATGAAGTGGCAGTTTTTGAATTAGCTATACAATCCTATATAACGGAAAATAAGCCTTTAGATGCCACATTACAAATATGGACACCATATGAAAATATAACAGCAACAGTTAGATTTAAAACAATGATCGGCGATTTAGAAGTGGATCAGGAAACAGTTTATTTTAAAAATTGCTTCCCGGTAATATTATTTATAGTTTGTAATGTTCGTTTTATATAGTAATTATTTATAACATTTCTAGGGCATGCTATGTTCATCAGATATAAGTATACGATCTACATTTCAATATCCAATACATATAACGAGTGTCAATTTTACGGATCCAAGTATGCATTTCGAAGATTTTAATCCTAAAGTTGCAGTTATTGATCCCGGAGTGTCTACAAAAATTGGTCGCCTCTATTTCAGCCCAGCAGAAATATGCAAGCATATGTGTTATATACCGCAAGACGAGAGAACAAATTCGTTAGATTTTTTATCTACACAGCCTCTTACGAGAGAGTTGAATAATAACCCTTATTTTGATGAAGGAGAACTTAGAAGACGTACAGAATTATATCGGCAGTTTAAAGCAATCCTACAATCAATTTCGTTTAGAGTGAGTACACAAGAAAAACGACAGTTCGTACTACAATTAATGATCGATATTGTATGGCCAAAATTGGTGTCTGGACCACAAACACTACCAAGTGTCGAAATCAACAAATCTCGTAAAACAGCAATCGTTATTAATAATCCTGCTAATAAACCGATACTGGTTGATTTTTTCTTATCAAATCCAAAATTCGCAAAGCTTACACGTTCATCGTTACCGCTTGAGGTAGTAGTTTTACCAAAAAATTGCCATTTGACAGATCAGTCAGTATTTTCATTATCCGAACTGTCAACTAAGCAACCTGTACTAATTCCAGCTTATGAAAATATAACTGTCACAATTACATTCACTGCAACACAAACGGATTTGTTTTGCACTTTACTACATATTCGAAATAATTTGACGTTGTATGAGGGAGTTTGGATAAGCGCTAAAGGTGTGCAATCACAATTTCGTTTTGGAAATCGGAAACCAGGCTCCACAACGCCTTTGCTCTTCGAAGTAAATGAAAAACATTTGTCCTCTTGCTATCAACAAATGCAACCAACAACAACAACAACAACAGAAGTTAGTTTTCCGGTGAATATTAAGAGAACTTTCACAGCTCGCAATACAGGTGAAATTCCAATATTTGTTGAAACATTTTTTGTCGAAGGCCAACAATGCATTGGATATGGATTTAAAATAGTGGACTGCACTAGTTTTGAACTTGCACCTAATTCGTCTAAAAAAATTGAAATATTGTTTAGTCCAGACTTTACTATAGCACGTATTGCAAAGTTATTGGTAATAAAAACAAATCTTTCCTACAATGTCAACTATACATTATTGGCACAATTGCCTACTGATAGTTTAGAGCTCTGCGGAAAATTGATCGCTCGACCTGAATGGGAGACACAAGTACGGTACGCTGCTATAATTGTTATATTAAGCAGCTTGGCGATGGTGGTCTTTGCGGTACATTTGGATTTGTATAAAATTTTCAAAATACAGGATGCTGTGGCAAAATCTCGCGATAAGGGACCTGTGCATCCTACTTTTAATCTGCGGAACATTGGTATAAAGTCGCTTACTCCAACAGATGATTCGGGTTTAGTAGTGGTAACAAAAGTATTGACAACAAATAATAAGCAAAAACTAAATCAAACGAATGGTAACAGCAATAGCCTTAAAAAGAGAGTTGGCGAAAAACAGAATTTTCAAAATTCCGCTAGTAAAAACTTATATTATCAATATTTAGATTGGCCTGAAGATTGCACAATGGATTGCAGCTGCGACCAATATTGTGAATTTTCAGAGGAATTTGAATTTAAGTTTCTAGATGATGATAAATTAACATTCAACTGCAGCTTTCATAATTGTACATCTGCAGAAAGTAGCAAGTGTTTATCGCCAGTCATACAAACAGAACATAAGGAAAAAAACAGAGTAAGTCCAAATGAACGCAATAGTAATAATATTCCTAAAAAACAAACACAGCAACAACGTAGTAATAAAAAATCCAAAAACAACACACCTTCACCAACGGCGCCAGTAGAAGAAAATACAAATACGCACAAAGCCAAAATAAATTGTACAGAGAAAAGTTTTGCAAATAGCATCAGTGCCAGTAAGAAACTAACTAAGACCCCAGAAATGAAATCCAACACGGACAATCTTTTCGATACAGAACAGAAAAATACAACAGTTTCAACCAAAGATACTTCACGTAAGTATGGAAAAACACCTGGTAGAGAACGCAAGCGAGAATTGCAAAAACGTGAAGCAAATTGTCATTCGAATTCTTCGTCAACAACATCATCGAACTCCAATTTCAAACTAGCAGACCGTAAGAAAAAAGTTAAAGTTGTTAACTCATTAAATTTTGATTCACCGATTCCGATTCCGCCTGAAATAAGCAATAATGGCACAGGACTTAGCTGTATAACCTCACCTTGGGAAACTAGTAACCAGGTCTCATTTGGAGATGTGCTGCAGAAACATAATTATCCACAACAAAATTTAGCAACATCAACAAACACCGATGGTGCATTTAATTTAAATCAAATGAAAATGGCTTCACAAAATTCACTATTTAGTAGTGTTGATCTCAAAACGACTGAGCTCTCCAATATTTGTGAACCACAGACTATTACTGTATCAACAGAAAAGGAAATTTCAAAAAGCGACGAAAGACCTAGCAGCACTGAACTTGGTCCGATTGGCACAAGAAAATCACCATCTTCAACACCCGTTTGGGAGTCGGTAACCGCTGCACCAATGACTGCAACTACCACACAATTACTTAAACCGCAAATTTGTAGTAGTTCCAGTTTTTTTTCCGATATGCTACCAACTACTTATGAGCAAAATAACATTGCACCATTGATAGGTGGGTAGTGTACATAAAATTAAATCAAGCATGTAACATAAATTATATATATATTTTAAGTATTATTTTTTATGGCTTTTTAAAAATATTTGCTTTTTTCACAGATGCCTCAACTGCACAATTATTGGAACTACAAAAGGCTCAAGCAGAGTTGCAACGACAATGGCAGACAAATGAGTATTTGTTTAATTTACGCCAGCGGCAAATTGAAAATCAGCAACAGCAACAACTACGCTTGCAAGCGCAGCAACAACTTTTGCAAGGTGTTGATGTCAGCAACAGTTGGGCACTTAATTCTCATACTTGGTCACCACTTGTTTACGGACAAAGCTTGCCAAGTGATATCGTCAATTCAACTGGCATTAATTCCGCAGGTCTTTGGCAGAATGCCGGTCTTGTGCGTCCACCACCAGGTTTGTTGCCGAGTTTGCAGAATTTACATCAAACTCAACAGCAGCAGCAGCAGCAACACCAACAACAACCGCAACAGCAGCCACAACCACAACAGCAACAAACTACAACTAATGATGATGATATGCAAACATTTGACCCTTTTAGCTCGTTAAGCTCTATTTGGTGCGACAATTGGTTGCAGAACAACAATAATCAGAAAAGCAATAATGATAAGTAAAAAGATATCGTCTTAAGAACAAAGAGCAATAAGCAGCAACAGAATTTTGCGATTTTTTAAATTGCATTTTAGTCCTTAATAATGACAGTTTAATTTGTTAATTTTTGAAAAAATAATAAGTTGTTGAGTGAGTTAAATTTTTTTGAGCTTAGATTTTATAAATTTTTAATATTAAGAATTGAATAACTGTTTTATTTTTTGGTGCGCAGCCATCGTGTCCAAATATTTTCAATTAACTGATTTACTTCCTCAAATGCCATACATTTTTATATATAAGTTATATATAACTATTCGACGAAGTCATTGTTATTTAAGTTTCCTTTTACCAAATATTTTTTTTAACAATTTAAATTTTCTTTATACATTTTTCCATTTTTTAAGCATAAAAATATATAAGTGAAAAATATTGCTCAAAACTTAATTTAAATATCAACACAAACGAAACGTAAATTAAATTTAAAACAAAATGTAATTGAAAAGTATTTTTATTTTTTACAAAAAATACTCATGTTCAATATACAACGTTTACTGAAATTATTTGGGAGATTTTTGTTCATTTTATTTATTTCATTAATAATATTTACATGCAATTTAAAATAATGTAACAACAAAAGCACTGAAGCTTATTTGATTTATCGAAACTGTAAAATTAAGTTAATGTTTTTTAAGCAATTGCATTTTTGACGAAATAAAAATTTTCATTATTTTATAAAAAAAAATTGGTTTCTGCTTTGGAATATAAAACTGATTTTTATCATTATTTATCCTTATACGTTATGATGCCTTTCTCTATTAGATCGGGTATTTCCACCGCAAGCCATGGTGCCAACTGAAAAGAAAATGTAATATAAATTAAAAGGAAATTATGAAGAAAGAAACTATATTTTAAATAAATAACTTTTAAACAATATTAAATTACAATAATAAATATTTATTTTGTATTAATTGAATTTTTGGCTGACCATACAGTTGAATGCAGGAATTGCCAAATATCCATTAAAACATTTGTTGTTTCTTAATGCATATGTAATCAGAGTTTTTATTATAGAAAACGATTTTTTGTCACAAAGTCGTTTGTTTTTTTTTTTGTAAGAATTTTAACTTTTTTTGAGCATTATTTTTAATATATTTCTATATGTATTTCGGCAAATTTGCTTATACCTTTATCAGGAGAATACCTTAAGACGCTTTTTGACGCCTTAAGCGTTAAATATGAGCCTGGGAGGGTTAATGCTTATAACAAAAGATATAAATTTCTTATAATGAAACTATTTATCATACATCATAAATATTTATTTCAAAGACTGAAAACATCTTCCAAACTAAAGTAAGGTGTGTTAGGTCATCATTTTTAACATTTGAAGTATAAATATAAATAAACTTATGATAGTAAAACTTTTACTAATATTCCGGATATTTTGACAATTCTGCATCTTAGGCAAGAATATTATTATATTCTTCTACAAAGTGTGCATCATTGGTTATTATATTTCTAACTTTTAGATTTTAGTGCTATTATATTTGTAAAGGCAAATTTTTTCTTTTTTTATTGTGTATAGCTACGGTTACTGGAAATAAACGATATATCAAAGGTCATAATGTTTTCAAAGTCTTTGCATAATGTTTTCTAAATCTGAATGGTGTCATAACACCTACACATGGTTTCATTAACAAACACTTCTGCGTTTGAAGTGATTCCCCATAGCAATCAAGAATGACAAATCTACAAAACTGTTTTGCATAATGCTTCGGGTCAAGAATTGCGATGTTATTGAAATTTCTATATTAGAACATTATATATAAAAGAACATTATATGTTATTAGAACATATTTCTATTGATTTATGAACTGCTAGATAACGAATTAAAGTTGGAACACAATTTAAAATTTTGAAGATTGTAAGTAACTGAGTGCTCCTTTCCTTATTTAGGGTGACGGTTATCAACTACTTATAACTATTAGAAAAATTTGTGTTATTTAAAAATTTTTAAACTTACACCAAGTGCCATTGCATGAGCGATTCCAAATTTCGGTACATTTCTCGCCCACAAAGGCTTAAAATGATCTGTCAAACAAATTTTTCCACCACGATACATTTTCGCTGTTTTTCCATCAAGCTCTGGTAATGCTATTTCTGGTGCAGTTGCTGGATACGTCACTGGTATCTAAAGACAAAAAAAAATCATTTAAAAATTATATATTAAATTTCTATGAAAAGTGAAACTTTACTAACATCGAATTCCACATCAAACTCATATTTCAGTAGATTGTGCATGTACCAGCATTTTCCGAACCATTTGGTGCCTTCTTTGTTTGATTCTAGTCGAAACCAATCTGTACCAGATTCTTTATTATTTTGTACATACTGTCAATGATACCAGAAATGAAAACAATTACATTTTCTTTCATGAGTAACAAATTTTTGCGTCTTACTTTGATTAGCGACTGGTATTCCTCTTTCAATCTTTGTACCCAAACATCCTTCTCTCTAGGCCCTGCTCTGGTTTGCAATAAAGGTATGGAACTAAGAGTTTTCTTTGTACACTCATCTACCATTTTATTTGTTCGTTTTTGTTGATCAGTTAGGAAAAATGCTGCAACACTCGTTTTAATAATGAAAACAACTTTTCTGTGACACGTATAAGAAAAACAGCTGCTTAATTAACTCACGTATGCCTTTACGTTATAACGTAAACGTGTAGATTTCAGAGATGCCATCTCATGATTATTTGCATATTTTTAAAGTAATGTGTGTAGCATTGAAATTTATTTTATAGTTAATTAATAACATTTTTTTCAACAATATAAGTTAACTCAATAAAAAAAAATAATTTAGTATTTCAAAATAGTATCCATTTATTCAACTTATTCAGAACCTATAATTTGCATGGGCTACTTTCAAAAAGGTATGGGTTCTTTTAAGACCATAAAATGTGCTTGCAGTTGCAACATTAGAAAAAGAAAATATTTTATACGTAAATGTATATTTTAATAATTATTATAATATATAGCTCTAGTTTTTTGGATATGTTATGTTTAACAAATAGATTTGCGTGGGTTCAAGTAGTCATGTACAGCAAAGTAAGTACCTTTACTTTAGTGATATAAAATTCATCAAGGACAGATACTCTTCTGGTTCTATATTTAGTACTACAACGTTTTTATTTTATTTTTCTTAATATTATTAATTTACGAATATAATTAATTTACAAAAATTTTCTGACACAAATATTTTTTCCGTTTCCTTGCTTTGTTTTGGGGTATGACATCCAAATTTATAGATAAAAAAAGCCTAGTGCAAGTTTTTTGAGAAATAAAACATACTTTTATTTCAGTTAAATGGTCTCTATTTATACAATTTCAATAAGAAGCGATATGTCCATGAAACACAAGCATTTTTTTTATAAATTTAATAGATTGTAGATTAATCTTTTATGTTTATGTCAAAAACAAAAGCCTACACAAACCCCTTAATTCACCAACTGTTGAAGAATTCGCCAATATGCACCTAAATTCCGAGAGAGACTCAAGTCGCATTCAAATCCTTATGTTCAATACTTATCTTTCAGAAATCTATTCGGTGTAAAGTTAACTTTTAGGTCGTGTGTGAGTTCGGGTAAATTGAGGTAAAGTAAATTGAAATTTCCTAGGGATTTATTGCACTGCACTTCTGTAAATATTTATTTATTTATTTATTACTCTTATTTTTTATTTTTGATTAAAAGTTTTTAAATTTATTTATCCATTAATAAACATCTTATAAAATTTTTACAATAGTAACACCTAATTTACCTAATTTTTATCTAATTTACCCTACTCGATATTCTGGTAAATACCAACATTCGCTGCCATGCCGATGGAGTTTACTATTTCCCTCAATTTACTACAATTTACTCGAAGTCGCACACAGCCTTAATTAACTTCTGAGATAAAATAAAATAACCCGTTTTCTTTGCTTAAAGAAACTGTTCGCGTTCTACGCCATAACTGTAGACATTTTAACCATAAGATGAATAATAATTTATCTTGAAATTTTACTGAGTAAGTTTATAGCCTATTCACACAGGTTTATAGCGTATTAGGTAATCCTAATAGGATTGTAATTTATCTCGTTCGTCTCATTTAACTTACAACGTTATAAAATTTAGTTAAAAAGATAAGCCGATCCCATATAAAAATCCGATTTGTATAAAATTAGATTGAAATTAAATTCGTATTTTATATTATGTAGTACAATTGTGTAGTGATGTAGTAATTAATTATCCCCTGTAAAGAAAATAATACTACAACGTTTAGTGTTTTATTTAAAAGCGCAACTGCAAACACAAAATTAAAATAAAATTAAAATTGTTGTGTGAATAGGTTTTAAGCGGAGCGACCTGAACAAAAGTAAATCACAATCAAAATTATAGTTACTTGTGCTGTGTGAATAGACTAATATTAAGAATTTCAGTCAAGACATTTACCTTTCTATTTTTATTTGCGGTACTAACTTTAAGTTTTAATATGATTATTGCAATTTGATTATTCTAATTTTTTGGATGGTCAATTGTTTTCTTTTACTTATCTCTTATATATCTTGCATACCTTGTAGCTTTTTTTAGAACTATGATCCTGACGTTCTTCGCCACTTTATCATAACAATTCAGCGAAGTGTACGTTAGACGATTTGGGTTGTTTTTAGATGAGTACTAGAGAGTAATGGGTTCGTTTACATTTCTTTTTCGTTACTATTGATATCGTTGAGTTTACACAGATAGGTTTGTATTTAGAAGTTTGATTATAAACTTATTACTTGCATCTTTCTGATAGTGTTATTTATTCCTTTATTATTTTTTTAATACTAACATTTTGTTTCATTTGCTAATAAATTTTGTAGTTAATTTTTTGCTTTGTAAAATGAGGTTGCGATCCCCATAGCATATGTCTCTTATATTCTCTTGTTTTATGTGTGCTTTATCCAGAGAGCAAGAAGTTAATGATAATTTCTAATAGATTTGCTTGCTCATTCCCCCATAAGCAGACTGGTTTATTGTTTTGAACACAGATGGGCAGTGGGATATATTTCTTGTTTTATCCGCCTCGTGTTATTATTCGAGTGTTTTTGTTTTAAAATAAAAATTTTTAATAATATGTTATTTGTTCTAAATATTTGTTAAACATTACATATTTTTAATATGTGATATTAGAGTACCAACAAATTGCACCCATAAAATAAATTTGCAAGTAAGACTAATTTTAATTACCAATATTTAAACGCTTCCTACAGAGTTTAGTTTATTATTTATATTCTATATATTATAAAAAAATAATTTACAAATATGTTCAACAAAGCTTAGACATATAACATATATTTTACATATATTTATTTTATGACATATATATTTATGTCATCGACAAATTAATTCTACAAGTGATCTTATTAGGATCACATGATATATGTATATATTATAATTACCTATAAAAGACTAATAAAGTTTAAGTGCATCAATTTCCAATAAAGAAAACCTGTGATTATATTTACAGAGCCACAGTCAGAAATGAATTGTTTTTTACAAGGAGGATGTTGACTTAAAGGGTAGGTAGCGATTAAATGTAGAAGTTATCTTTCCAGATCTTTAGGATAAAAGTTTCATTTTTAAGGCTAATATTAAACATCGCATTTAAGGTGTTACAAAATTTAAATATGATATTACAGATAGACCGCGAGAGACCTTTTAATGTATGCAAACAAACAATTCTTTGTTATTATAGTAAATAATAAGATTTTGTAGCTCAAAATTAAAAAAAAAATATTAGAAATTAAAAAATCGTATAGATAAATTTAAATGATCTAATTGCAGTTTTTTTTATACACCTTATGTTTTTTCTGAGTGTGGGGAACAAATAGGTACGGTCAGTAGATAGCTTACGGTCAGTAAGATTAATCTAATTAACCAATTATAATAAATATGCGCATCTTGAATATATATAGTTAAGATCGTCAAATTAAGCGAAGTCTATGTAATGTAGGACGTGAGGCACTCGTGAGACAACATCGTATAAAGTACCTCAGTTAGTTATTGCAGACTGGATTTCAGAAGTTTTAACAAGTTTAATAGACCCTCTATTAAATTATGTTTTTTTATAATACCTTTATTTTTTAAATATAAGAAATACAAGAATTTAGAAAAATTATTCATTTTTTCTTTGAATATGATTTACTTACTTACTTAAATGGTCATAACAATACGTTATCGGCATTTAACCAAGCGCCTCTTGGAGAGCGCACCTTCTCCAGTCTCGTTTATCGCACTAGTGTTTCTTCAACTTGATCGCTCCATCGAAGACACGGTCTACCAATTACCGATTGAAATACCTTTATCGGAGGAGCATCGTCATCCATTGCCACGACATGAATAAAGCAACAAAGCCGCTGGAAGTCAGTTCGCTGAATTTATATGATTTACACATACAGTAAAACTAAAGAAAATACTTGTGTGTTCCATTTATTGTTTTAATTGGAAAACAATGAATCTATGTTCTTAAATACATTGTTTACGCAAACTTCATGTATAGAAATGATACCATACCATACTTAAACCAAGTCAATAAATTAACACATCCTTATTCCACATAAGCTGATATATTTGCACTCAATTCATATCAATTTAAGGATGTTTTAGCGTAAAGATGGATTTCCTTTGACAACACACAACGAGTATTGACACCACATAGTGCAATCCAGTGAATCCATTCGAAATGCTGAGCTACGGGAAACTCTGCCAAGCATTTGCATCAACATGTTATATATGGTATATAGGTATGTTGGTGTATAAATATTGACAAATACAACTCCCAAACTTCCACGCTACAGATACGATTGCTACAGAAGTCCACCTAAAATGTCTTAAGTTAGGCTTGACCGTAACGACTTAATTTACAAAATATAAAAACGCAAGAAAGGCAAAACATGTCAGCGCAGCCAATTTCAACAATTTCAACAATAACAACAATAACAACAACTTCATCGTCACACCGCAATCCTCATGGGGCGTGGATAATTGCATACAATCTTCGACAAACTTCAACGCTGACAATGTTGACGTTGACTGTCTTATTTCTTACATTTCGAGTCCTTTCGTTTGTAGATCCTTTGATTTTCATTTTTTTGCTTTACGTTCTTTTTTTCGCAGTTTTTTGTTATTCTTTTTTGGTTCTGGTTTTGTTGTTGTTGTTGTTGTTTTCGTTCTTGTGTCCGTTTTATGCCTGCTGAGCGATAGGGAGTCATAAACCAAAATATTATGCTGCCACCTGCTGTGAGTTCTACGATTTGCTGTGGTAAGTTTCTATCCACAGCAACAGTGTTTCTCGCACTGGTGTTTTGGTGTTCCGCCGGTGCGACTTTGATACGTTGGATTGATTCGTCAGTGTGGTGACTACTGTTACTATTTCTTGTGGATTTCCAACTGTGCCTCTTCGTGTACATAACATGTTTGACGTGCTATACGTTCTATGTGCTAGCCGACTTTTTTTTTGGATCTCCGGTGATGCTAGGCAATAGAAGAGCAATTTGCAATGCTCTCTTGTTGTCTTCTCTGCGATTTTAGCATACTGAGCGGATAGCTTGACATAACCAAATCGCGTTGAATTTTCCCGATCAATTGTTGAGTTGCGGTTTTTTGTTTTCCTTACTTTGAAAATATTTACTATGAAATTTCTGTTGGCAGAACTAAAATGTGGACAAAAG